TAACTATACAAATGGTTTTCATAGCATGCTCTGAGGTATCATGATAAAATTACCGAATTTTACCTCATTCACTAAATTTTATCACTTATTTTATAAAACCATATTTTATTGTTGATATTTTATAAAACCATATTTTATTGTTGATGTTACAAAATCATTACAAAAACGCTAAATCGGAAAAAAAACGATTAAAAAATTTTTTCGTTTTTTTTTGTGTTCCAGAACGCAAAGCCAGAAACACGATAAATCTAACCATATTCTGGTAGTTTTTATCATACTTTTCTTACAGTGAAAGTCTTGTTACTCATTCTGAAATTACATTGAAAACCATAATTTATCCAAGTTGCTATTTATTTTATTTATTTATTTATTTTATTGTATTTCTTCTTCTTCTTTTTTTTTTTTTTTTTTTTTTTTTTTTTTTTTTTTTTTTTTTTTTTTTTGTTACCGTAACGCGTTAACGTTCACCCAGTCTTTTTGTAATCTTAAATTGAACTTAAAAGATAACTATTGTCAATAATTATTGAGTGTGTTCCATTTTTTTCTTTATTTATTTTTTATTTTATTTATTTATTTATTTTTTGCATATTGCATTTGAACAAGGAAAAAAAATCAAGAATTTAGTTTATAAAAACTCATATTTGGAAATTGTGTTAATTTACACAATTAAGTTTTCGAAATACAAAAATTAAATATCAAAACAATTTTAGTTAATAAATTTTGCAAATTTCAGAAATGAATGAATCTATCCTGAAAATTAATGAATCTGATGAATTTATCCTTGAAAATCTTTATAATTAGCCCGATAAATTACTAATTTTTTAATGTACACTTTTAGAATGCTTAATTAAGGCCATAGTGACGTAACTTTGTTTTGAACCGATAATTTCAAAGTTTAATAAATTATTTGATTAGCAAAATCACGTTTCACAGTATTACGTAATAGCGAGGAAACATTTTCGAGCAAGACCAAGGACTTACTGATGTTTGTTAATTTTCTAATTGACTTGCTGACTGCAATATTCTAAATTAGCACTTCCAAATTTTTGCATATTTGGTTCGCTTAAGTATATTATTTACATCTATTTATATTTTCAAATCATTAGCATTAAATATTTTCAGGTAGTTGCGTTTTTAAAAGGAAATAAACAACATAACTATTATTTGGTTTTGCTAATCAAGAATTTCAAATTAATTATCTATAAGCTAAAAGTAAGGTAAGGTAATCATTTAAACCTTGAAATTATTGCAAAAGCTTAACAAATTATTTCTAAATTACTCTCATTTAAATGAAGGAAATAATTCTTTTTAATTGCTATTTTCATATAGTAGTTTAATAAAGTGAGTGCTCATTCATTAAAAGGTAAAAATTTACAATTTAATGCCCTTTTTTGGTTTGGCGATTTTTTTGTCACCAAGATCAGCGCTAAAAAAATTTTTTTTGCTATGGTTGTTTGCAAATCAACAAAAATTCATTAAAATATTTTATAATTGAAAATAATACATTTAATATAATTCCATGCGTCAATTCGTCAAACAAAATTATAATTTTGTTTCCAAATATCATGAACACACTGCAAACTTGGTCGAAAATACAAGAATCTACCCAATTCTATATTCAACCCTGCGGTTCTCATTTTTTCCTGGTTAGAGAACTCTGCATTTTGCCGGAACACCGATTTAATAGGCAAAGAAGGACTGCCAGTAATTTTGGAACTATTTAAGACGAGGAGATAATTTAATTTTTTTCATTGTTCTAATAATAATAATTTTAAAAGTTTGTGTTACGTCAGGTGTTTGAAATCATAGGCTTCTAGACTAGTTCTGAATTTGCATTAAGTTTATTCATAAACTGAAAATGAATAAATTAGGCTGAATTATAGTTTTCGTAGAAATGAAAAGTTACTATTGCAAATATTGAAAATGATTTCTTCATTATAGTTGAATTTGATTTCCTTACCGTTGAAGTTGAATCAAATTTCATTATAGTTAAATTTCATTATTTCCTTTGCATTAAAAACTTTTATTAAAAATCGTAGTGAAATTATTGAATAAATAATGCTAATGGCCTGAAGCGATAAGATAATACTTGATTAAAAAACTTCGCTTCAATAATATACGGATTAGAAAAAATAGTGTTGACATGTTTAAAGCTCTCGAAAATAAGCGCCCATTTTCAAAACTTGCCAGACATGAATGAGAAGAAACAAAATTGATTTGAAATGTAAAGCGAAAACTTTTCAACAATCAACGGAAAATAAAGGTAAGAAACAAAACTAGAAAATCCGCAGTTGCCGTGAGGGAATAAAAATAAGCATGAAAGAAACAAACATTAAAAATCAGTGTGGAGAGGAGTAAAACAAGGTAAAACGTATTTCCACGTGCTATGGAGAGGTAGCTAGGAATTTATATCAAAAACTAGGGAATCAGCATTCAAATGAATAAACAAAGATTCCAGGACATCAAGATGAGCTGATGTGACTGTGGTGGAAATAATTTTGGCATTGTCGAATTATTCTCAGTTACAGTTGTTTTTCTTGTTCTGTCTTTTTATGTTTATTTTTATTCTCTATCAGCTATTAAGTTTCTTCTAGTTTTATTTTTCACCTTTATTTTCCTTTTTTAATGGCAACTTTATATTTTATATAAATCACACTGTAAATCATATTTCACTTTGTTTGGAACATCATTGTATAGACACCTTGTGAGCATGCTAGAGAAAGTACTCATAAAACGCTCATTTGTATATTCAATATTTTCCAGATTGTGTTGAGCCGAAATAATTTTAAGAAAAGGAAAAAACATCTAATTATTACTTGAGTTCCTGTGTCTAACTTAGTTATGGAGTTGAGACATACTAATAACAATCCGTAAAAGTATGAGAGACAAGTTTCAACGAATTTACTTTGCCGCTAAATTTAATATTGAGTCGTAAGCAAGTGATCTTTATTAGGCAGCTGTCATCCCCAGTTTCCTACCCGGTAGAGCTGTGAGAGGTTTTATTTTGTAACAATTGGACATTTTACTATATCTAGATACCCCTTTTATAACTTACTGATGAAGCCGCTTGAAAATTAAAAGAGTTAAAAAATTTAGTTAGTACCCTGGGTACCCTGATTGTTTGATGATATTAAAACTTTATTTGCTTCAAAAAATATCAAGATAGTTAAAAAAGGCGACATGAAACAAGAGCTCAAAAAAGGGCACCCTTTCTCAAGACTCGCCAGAAGTGAATGCGGAAAACAATGGAGATTTAACAAAACAAAACAACAACAAAAAAATGGATAACAAAAGTGTGAAAAACAAAATTCGAAAAATCGCTATAGCCGAGAGTGAAACAGAAAAGAAAAAGTAAATATAAGTGGAAAATGAAACTAAAAAACCTCAGTAGCCGAGAAAAACAATTCAGGGCAAAATGCATGTCCACACGCTATGGAGAGGAGGTGAGGAACTTCTGTTGTTAACATGGTGGCAAGGGAATTAATTCCTGACTACCTCTGCATTCTAAGTGAGAAAGCATTTTTGTCCTATTTTGTCCCTCCCGGTCACTGCTGTTTTCAGGTTTCGTTTTTTGTTGGCCATTTTACGTTTTCGGTTTCAAATCGCTTTTGTTTTCCTCATTCACGTATGGCGAATCTATTGTTTTAAGATAAATAAAGTTTTAATATTATTACGCATATATTTTCGTATCAGTTTCTTGGAATATTTATTAAATACCCTATATGCCATTTAAATATGCAATGTTTTCTTTATGCCAGGTATACTATTTCAATGTTCAATGTTTTCTTTATGCCATGTATGCTATTTGAATAAGCAATGTTACACACTTTATGTAATTTAAGCATGCAATGTTCTTTTCTTTTTTTCAATTTTAAAAGAAGTTATGATAATACCTTGTGCAGACGTAGAAAAAGGAACAATCGAGAAAAATAGGAAAAAAGACGGTAATTTTATTGTTTTATTTAAACTTTATGCAACATTTAAAAATCTTTAAAAATTATTATTATTAAAAATAAATTATTATTACACATTCAAAAAATTATATTTATAAGCGTTTTAAGTGGAACTACTTTGTGTCTTTTAAAATAAAAATCCAATTTTTAAAGTTATTCTCAATTTTGCTACAAAATGTTCTTACTCATATAAATCGGCTTTTTTTATGAAAAAATCCATAGTTATATCCCAAAATCCTTTGTTAAATGTAGGCCTACCTACCGGGCTATCCTAGCCTGGTAGGTAGGGCGTTGGGCCCTTGTCCGAGAAGTTATGAAGTCGAACCCCATCGGGCGAAGACATCCCGTGTAATAAATGGTGACTGGTGCACGTTAAATCTGTCGGGTCACAAAGTCCTCCATGATCCCATAACAAATCATACCCCTGGGGGTACTGAATAGGAGATTGATCGTTCTCTGGTTCAAGTCAAAATTACGATTTGTGAATGAATGGATGTTTTTATGGGCCCACCCTGTAAACGGATTGTGACGTGTGTATGGCTGAAGTCGTATTTTTATTCTTATTCTAGTCGTATTCTTATTCTTAACCATAGATGGCGCCCCTGAAAAACAGGAAACACGGCCTTTGCCTTAAATTTGCTTGATTTCACCAACATGCTTGCTGGTATTCACAAATGGCATTAGAAACAACAACGCATTGCTAAATATAGAAGTGATATTCATTAAAATACTTTTAAATAACGTTTTAAGCTCTTGAAATGATTTTCAAAATAAAATTTCCCGCAATATTTAGAAAGCTGAAGGCATAAACACATTAAGTAGAAACATCTTGAGTTTTTAAAACAAAGCGTACGATTTCCTTCTATTTTCATTTCTGAATGATTTTATGTGATATTTTTCAGAATAAAATTTCCTTACTTTCATCATATTATGAAAGTATGATATGAAAACTATTGATAGTTTTCACTTGTAAGAAATTTTTTATTGTTTTGTATTAAAAACCAACTGGTTTATTCCCTGTTAATTATAGATATTTATTCGTTTTAGGTGTTATCGAGTCTGAAGAAAGTAAGTAAATTTGTTTTTGATTTTCTGAAAATAAATAAATAAAAATAAGAGCACAATATTTGACAACCAATAAAATTACTATTAGTAAGAAATTAATCTTTACATTAATGTTAAAAGCAATCTTTTTATAACATTAGGAAGACTGGAAAGTAATGTTTATTTTTTAACATATACTTCAAACTCGTACAATTTTAACAAGTTTTTATTGATAATCAATTATATCATTCTTGTGATTAACAAACTTTTGTCATAAATTAATTTGTTTCTGAGCAGAAAATTTGATGAAGACATTTTAGACATCATCCGATTTTGCCACTTTAATGTTGTAGCGATCGGAATAAATGGAAATCCAATGGTGCAATATCGTGTGAGTAAGGTGGGTGAGGAAATACCTCTTTCTTCCCATTTTTTAATTTTTTTCAGGGTTGGTTTCTCAAATTGATACTAGTCTGAAAGACAGTTTTTCAGCTTGGAAAACTGTCTTTGGAATTTACAACCGTCAAATATAATTAGATGAACATCACAAATATTGGAGGGGCGGAAACTGTTGCGTTACTATAAAATATGTATACCTCCTCTGGTGTCTGATAGGCCATTTTGTCGTAAACTGCAAAATAAAAAATTAAATAATTAATAATAAAAAATATGATTTACTTATTTATATGTAATCAAGTTGCTATAACCTTAAAATGTCTTTGTCGAATTTGAACGATAGTAAATAACAAATGAGCTTATGATAAATGAATGAGTTGATAAAAGAACATGAGAAGTGACAAACTTATATCAAAATGCGCAGAATCTACGTTTCTTTTCAATCCACCTAATATTTTAGAAATTTATCCATGACAAAAATTAAGTAAGAAGATTAAAAACACGATGAAAACTAAATATATAGCACTTCCGTGATGTTTGTTTCATCGTTTACATACTATTTGTTTCTTTGTAAAAATAATTATAATAATTTTTAAGCATATTAAGGAATGGGAAAAATTAATTTTCTATCAAATTGTACAAAAAAAAAATGGACTTTGACAATTGGATACCTGCAAGCGACGTCAGGTGTGATTAGCCTATGAGGTTCAACACACACGCGTGTTTCAAGTATCCAATTAAATCTGATCCAAAATTTGATAATAAACACAAACCTTAAGACTAAAACGTTAACACGCCCAACACAACCACATGATTAGACATGACCACGTGATTAGTTGCAAGTACCCAATTACAGCGGAAAGTCATTTTAACTCCCACCTTGAACTTTATATTACATTTCAAAAACTAAACTTATTACGAATTTCAGATTAGGTTTGTTAAGCGCAAAATCAGCGGGTCTATATTTTCAGAAATTGAAGTCACCAAAACTTCATCTCCTCAATGTAAAAAAATGGATACTCAATACTCACAAAATCTTTCTCGTTTTAAATGAAATCTTTTCCTAGGAAGTACTCCGAAGAAACATTTCATCAAATTGAGGAAATTGCTATCGATATCGCCAGAAGAGTTATACTTAAGACGTCATATTGATTGCAAGATAGGAATTAAAATAAGAAATTAAAGCAGTTTGTATGAATTAGTACTTCGTCACCGTCAGAAATCAAACCCGTGAAAATTGCTTCATACGCAAAACATTTAACTCATATACCATTACATCATCAAGTGCAAAACGTTTTTAACTCAAATAAAAAATTTTGGAAAACTCCTAGAATACACTAAGATGACACACAAGTGAGGAATCTGCTTCATCAAATATTTAAGAGTTTTCGTCAAAAATAACGTGAAACAATTACCAAATGTAACAAAATGCCTCTCTAGGACTACAATAATCGTCAAAAATGAGTTTTATTTTTAAGCGTGTGTTGAACTTTTCACAACCAACCTACCAAAAATTTAACTCCTTTAATATTGTAAAATATCTGTATTTCATTAAAATAAGTTTTTCCTATTACTTTTTTAAGAATTTATCCGTTTGAAATCAACTACTCAACTATCTCAACTTGTTCTACTGTTCAAAATTAAGTTATAAAAATTTAATTGCATTATTAAAAGTATTTTACTAGAGAATTTAGACTAGAGAACACTAGAGAATACACTAGAATATACACTACAGAATTTATTTTATGACAAATTTCGTGTAATACAGTGTTTATCATTATGTCAATATTTTTGAAAAACTCTTTCTAAGTATTTATTTTTCTGATTGATTTTACAATTTCGAATAACTTATATTTTGATTTCTTTTCTGGATTCTGTGTTTATTTAGATAGTATTCTCCTCTTCTTTATATTAGGATGGAGTTTCTTAATGTTGATTGTTGGTAAGAATGAAATAAATTTGTCTTTCAAACTCAGATTTTTCACTTTTTTTCTGTTCTATTTACTGTTTTATTTATTTCAGATTAGTCAATAAATTAATTGTTAAAAGAGAAATCGAGAAAATAATTCATGCTAGATGAAAAGTTCTTTTTTTTTTGTTGTTGCTGTAAAAATTTTGATTTTCTTAATATTGAGACCCAGTAGTTGAATCCAAACTGATCTAAGTCTTAAATTTGAGTACTCAAATATATAATTTATAAACTTTTAAGACATATATCCGCTGTTTGTACCCTATCTTTCATCATTTACTTATCGACTATAGGAACCATGTGTTGGCAACTGCTTTTTTAAGTTGTCTCCTACACAAGTTATCAATAATGATAAGAAAACTGGCGAATTAGTTACACCTACGTTTATTATAGATAGATTGTGAAAATCAGAACCTGGTGTTGTTCTACTTATGGGTGAACTTGGTTTCCTGGTCTCTTTAAATAATAAATATTGATTTTTTTTATGACATTTTCATGCAAATTATAAATTATATAAAGCTTGAGAAATAAAAATGTATGTTTCAAAAAACGTTAAAAAATAATTATTATGATTTGTTAATAGAGAGTTTCAATATTCGAGTTTTAGAGATGTGAACAACTTGAAATTAAAATGCCGTTTGAACGAATAAGAATAAGTATAATTATGTTAATAATTACCCGTGATGGTTAAATATAGTATTATCTTATTTTTCGATAGCTTCTGTTAACCTGTCCACATCTTCCTAGAGCGGATTTTTTACTCCACAGATTTTAAACTATGATTTGAGTCAGCTTTGAGTATATTTATTCATTTTTTTCGAAATTTCATTTGTTTCTCATTTTTTTAAACATTTTTAAACAATGCCCTTTCCTAGGCAGTGACCATTGAAACAATGTAAAAACACATTTTTTTTTTCAATATTGCATACAAACAACACGTCGTAGAGGAATGGGAAATATCTCAAAATGATCCAAACAATATTAGCTATCTGTTACAAAAAAAGCCGGGCAAATCGGTGAAGCCATTCAATAAATATTAACGATATTTAATCTGCAATATTAGAATTCGACAATAAAATTTTGTATTTTCGATATTGCGACCAAAATACATAGCGCCTGAAAGTGGTGATTGTTAGCAAACCACACCATGAAAATTTGAAAACTGTAGAAAAAAGCGGAAAACGTAGAAAAAAACGTTATAAAAATTTTATGCCTTAAAATTCTAGTTAATCTAAATTTAATGTTTCAAAACATTTGTTATACTTATCTTTTTAAAACATTAATTTTGAGTAATTCCGAAATGTCACTTAAAATCCTCTTTCACCCAGGCTTTCAACTATCTGTGAGCTCAGTGGTTTCGCATCATTATAATTCTTTGCATATTCATTGCATATTTATAGACTTCAAGTTGCGAATGTTGCTTTTAAGAAACTTTTATGGATAGGACAACAGAATTGGTCTCTGTCTTAGGCAATATTCAACAGCTATATTCTATCTTTTTTTCATAAACATTATATCTATTTTTCTATTTACAGGATGCATATACATTAATGATTGTAAGATCCAGCCCTTTATACCTATTTTTTTAATAATTGCTGGAATATCAGGCATTATCCTGTTTCTTGTCTATTTTTTGGGAGACGTGTCATCTGAAGATTCCTGTCCGACAAAATTCTGTTTCAGATCTTTTCAAATGGGATTTACTGCTATTCATATGTTTTCTGTAATATGGATTGCCCTAGGTAAGTTTTTAACGCTAAAATCACTCATATACAGAACTTTCGACAAATAAATTTCTTTATTATATGAGAAAGTAAAGTAATATGATCAATTGAATAAAATTGACGCGATCATAGTTAACAGCACCTGTCCAGGTATAACTAGCAATAGTTTATGAAGTCTACTATAAAAAAAATGTTCCGATCTTTGAGAAGTAGTTGAAACTCAATTATATTAAGATTTCCGGCTAGCACCGACAACAGTGCTGACTTAAAACATCCTCAGTTGTAGACGGATAATAGGTTAGAGTCCCCTTACTGTCAGACTAACTGTGGGAGATTTTCGTGGTTTTCCACTCCAGATAACGCAAATGCGGGTTAGTTCCATCAAAAAAGCCCTCCACAAATGCAAATTTCGCCCAATACTTGATACTGGAGTCCCGTTGTCTTCTAGATTGGGTACAGAATTGTAAGGCTATGGAGTTAAACATTAGTAGTCGTAAACCCAAAATTAGGTCGACTATTCAACGACGGTTATACAATAAAATTTATTAAGACCTAAAAATATTTGGACATCAAAACAGTGCCATGAATCACCCATCTGGGGTAGTTCTTTTTTCCTTCCATAAAATATTAACTTTTGATGTTAAAAATCAGGTGTATCATTGTATATTAAAGACCATCTTGGATATTGGAAAACAAATTTAAATTCAACTTGGTGATGCGAATTTAAATTCAATATGGTGGGTTAGATGAGGAGAAGTTCGTATGATCCGTAAATTAACCTTTTCTATAGTGAAATCTAAAGTTTCAATTGCTTTTATTAAAAAGAATTTCAGAAAAATTAAAATTTGTTATTTTAAAAAAATAATTTGGCAACAATTGAAGAAATATTTAATTGAAGCGATTAATGCCTAAATTTGGTAAACTTACAAGGAACTTGACTTGCGTAAGTTGAGAGTAAATTTCATTCATGCTTTTTTGTTGTTTTGATTCGATATCGTTTTCTTTCTTAATTATAAAATTGTACTATGTTTCTTTTGAAGTCGTCTTAGAGTTTATATTTAACTTAGTGAAGCGATTTGAATAAAATATCATATTTAAGGAATGTCAAGTTTTATAAAAAGATGTTTTTGATTGAATGTGGTTATGCATCTGCTGTTTTTAATTTATTCATTCCACAATTAATTCGATTTCAGTAATGTGCATAAATAAGCATTCATTAGGAATAATATATCTATCAATTATTAAATATATATTTTGATAATTAAACAATAAAAATCTATACAAAGATAAGTTATGTAAAAGGTATGTTTATATCGTCTTGAACCAAACTCATGTGACATCAACGACGATTATCTGTAATATTCATGATATTGTTGATGTTTCGAAATTCCCCACAGTGAGTATAAAGATACCGAACAAGTAACCAAAATTTTTAAGCATCTGAAAATATATGTGTCTTATACATCTTAATTTTAAAATTAAATTTTCAATTACCTGTTCACGTGTGGTTCATAGAACTTTTCAACCAATTATTTCATTATATATTTTTTTGTTTCCTTATGTTACCACGTAGATTTTTTTCCGATATTATACTAATCCATTTTTGGTTTACTTTTTATTAGTACTTTTTCTCTAAATTAACAATCGTTTTAAACGACTATCAAGTGTTTTTTTCGAGTCTCAGAACTATAGCCGATAAGAATTTAAGAGCATTTTCTGTATTAAAATTACTCGGTGCGAAACATCTAACGGATCGTAATAAATAAGCGCGTCTTTTTTCTCTAAGAAATAAAAAACAAATTATTTATTTACTTCAGTAATAACAGTAATATGGTATTTTTATTTATTAGTAACAGTAATATGGTACATTTATTTCCTTATTTATGGTTTCTTATTTATTTGATTTGCGAAAAGTAAAAACATATTTGTGCAACTCAAAAAGCCTCAACTGTTTACTTTGTTTTTTAAATGAACAAATTCGAACCCCAATTTTATTTTGGCGTTTAAACTTAAATATTACGCCGTTAACTTTAAGAAAGCTGCTCTTTAGAAAAAGGTGTTAAAAAAATTTACTTTTGTTAAAACTAATTTTTATAGCACAATTCACAGGATATTATTATAGTATACTTTGTTATCAGCAGAATATCTGAAAAAGATAATATCTGATATAAAATGCTGATAAAGATTAGCTGTCGCTAACGTCATAGGTCACATGTGTGGGTAGGAAAGATCTTCTTCTTGAAGTGTAAGTACCCAATTGTAAATGGAATTTTTTTAGGTCCTTAATAATGTTTTCAAAGCTAACAGTAAAAAAAAATTGTACTGCATTGATTTTTTTAAAAGTTGTGACTAATTAGTTTAAATTTAGTGTTCAAAAGGTGTCTATTTGCAATAAATACAATATGCTATACAACGCAGTACTACGCTCGAGATCCTATATTGTTCGTTCTATCTTTAACCCTATTCGAGATATTAGCACTAACTCTTTATTTGAATACAGATGGGTTTTTTTTTAATTTTAATTTATTTTATTTGCTTCTTATTACAGTGCATTTTCTTTGTTTTTAGGAAGTGTGTGGATATGTGGATCTATTGAAATGATTCAGCGCTGTAATGTGAGAAACTCAGCTCTTTGCTGTAGCAATGTACCTGTATTCGTTGCGCTATTTTCTCTGATTCTCGCTTTAATTTATCTTTTTATAATTACAGTTTCAATTTTACACGGCATCATAGATTATTTTTTCTTTCAACGTTGACGTGTAGAAAATGAGTATAAGAATCAAGTTTTTTAAGAATCATGTAATTTCTGGAAATAAAACTATAATGGTTAATTTTCGTACTTTTACTTTTGAGATTTTACAAGCACAAATAACCAAAGTTAACTTATTTTTCATTACCCATTTACTAAAACGCCAACCTCCATATACACTACACTCTTAAGTTGGTTCAATATTGATACGGATTAATGGTGCAGTGGCACATTATACAGTGCAAATTTTAACCATCATAAGTTTTGAAAATTAACCGTGTCTTTATTCAAGTTAAACTATTATAATCTGTTGATCAAGTTTAAGAATTAATTATACTATTATTAAAAAATATTATTTTCCAATTTGAAATCATAATATGGTTGCTGCAAATTTGAATCAATTTTGCTATTCATTAAGCGCAAAAAATATTGTATAGCATTTACATTCAGATTGTTTAAAATTACGTTCGTTTTTTTACATTTTATTTTATATTGCTCCTTTCATCTAGACCCAGGAAAGCAATACACATAGCCAACAGATCATATGCTTTGTACATAAATTAAAGCTTAGAAATAAACTGCATAAAAAATAAATTAAAATAAAATTAAAATAAAATTAAAATAAATTTTCTAAGTTTCAGTAACAAAATTTTAAAATAAGTGTTTGTTTGTTTGTTTGCTTGTTTGTTTGTTTGCCTTTTTTTGTTTGCTTGTTTGTTTGCTTGCTTGCTTGTTTGTTTGTTTGTTTGTTTGCTTGTTTGTTTGTTTGTTTGTTTGTTTGTTTGTTTGTTTGTTTGTTTTCTTTTCAAGTCACACTAGAGCTGCGCAATGGCCTATTGGTGATGGTCTCGGAAACATCCCTGAGCATGATCCGGAAACAACATACATATGTCACATCCCGTTTTACAGGAAGGACACCATCACACACCCTCCATCAGCAGATCGTAATTTTGACCTTAACCAGAGCACGAACAATTTCCGATCCAGTACGTATTGATTTTTTATGGGAACTTGGAGGACCTTTCCCCGACAGATTTAACGTGGTCCAGTAACCATTTTGTACACGGGAAATCTTCAGCCGAAAGGGTTTGGACTCACGACCTCTCGGACATGGGCCCAACGCCCTACCAGCTGTGCTATCCAGGCCTCTTTAAAATAAGTTAATAATAAACTGTCACGTAAGTGAGCGAATCTATGTTCCATGTATGGTGCTCATTGGGTACTTGCAACTCTAGAAGAAGTGGAGTGAATATGCCAAACAATGTGATTTAAATCAGAATTAATTTCGCCGCCTACAGGAATCGAAAATTTTTGCTAGTGACGTTAGGCTTGTATGTCGAACCTAATGGGCTTCCGAATCTATAAATGCCAAGATTTACCTACGATGGTGTTAATTGCAAACATCCAGTTATGTTTTTTTCTCCACCGAAGTTTAAGCGGAGTCAAATAGATTTAAAAAACAGAATACATATTCTATCAACTTCAAAATAAAATCCTCGTGAATTCAAATTTAATCTTGATTTTAACATTTTGATTCTTCAACTCTATTGATGTTCATTTGTGAACCCAAATCACCTTTTTCGACTTCAAATAATGTTTAAAATCTAAACTGTTTAATAAAATTCACCAATTACACTGAATAAATTTCTATTAATGTTTAGAATTTTTTTTCACAGTGTGTTTTGGTGTAAAAGTATGAAATTTCTCCGATTACTTTAATATTTAATATAAATTCATATGCATATAAATATGTCATTCATATAAATATGTATTTTATTCAATATAGAAAAAAATGTAAGAACAACAATAAAATAGTGAGAAATTAAACTATTTAAATTATATTGTGACCTGCTTGACAGAATGTATTTTTATCTTCAATAACAATCAGCAGATATAAAAAAGTAATTCAAATATTTTATAAAATTAAAATGAGCAAATAATTTAAAAAAATTATGGATTCAAAATATTTTTTTAAAAAAACAGTGAATTTATTATTTAAAACTAGTAGTTACTTTTTAACCCTGAGAGTGTTGTCATAGTTGAAAAGAAAAAACTATATGATTTAGCAAGTACAGTAGAATAGTATTCTTATGTACGTACTCTATACTCTAGCATTACAGTGGAAACTCTCTACTCACCATCTATCCTAAAATAACAAACAATCCCTACTGGAAGTCTTTATATCCTCTTCTGACGTCATAGCATTGACGTGACTATTTGTTTTTTTTTTTTTTTTTTTTTTTTTTTTGACCTTCCTGGATTGTTTGTATACTTGAAATACTCAGTTGCTCTGAATTTAATATTTGTGTCGTATTTTTGCAAAAAAATGTTCTTCATATTTTAAAATATCAGATGAAGATATGAAAAAAAGTACTTAGGCAAATTATCCTATATTGATATTACATGAACGCTGAGATTTGCGCAATTTAGTTTACATCAGCAGAAATTCTTCTACTTGAATCTTCTACCGGAAGTTGGAATAACCTCCCTCAATACTGCCCCCTATCGTGAAGAACATGAAACACGGTCGGGAATAAGGTGAATACATTTCTTTTTGGTCTAAATAATTGTTTGTTTATCTATGTTAAGCTTCATTTCATAACAGCTCTACATTAAAATATTTTTTCTTTTAATCATTCAATAAATTTTACATTGCTTGCTGTGGTATGCTTAAGCATAATTTCTTTTAAACTAGATCATTTGAAATATTAGTTTTTCCAACCCAATCCATATGTTCACAATACATATTTATTGTACCGTAAATCTGCAAATCTATTAAATTTGAAAATTATTAATTTATTCAAAATTAAGGTAATATTTTTAAGGTTAAATTTTTAAATATTAGCAATATTTATCAAACTAATCCTAAATTCTTGGAAAAAGTTTTTTTTATAGTTATAATTCTCTCCTAGATTTCCTTGAAAAGTGGTAAAATTTTATAATACACTCTATGCCATTTATAAACTATGGTTTCAAAATAATTCATAATTTTTATGTAGAATATAGAGTTTAAAAACCTGTTATGGAAAAACAAGATATATCGAATGAGTTTGCACAAATCTGATATTTTTAATAATTAAAATCTGTATAACGCAATTTATATTAAAAATTTGTCTATTTTATACAATAAATTTATGTGTTTCATATTAAAAATTTATCTGTACCAAATATTAAAAATGTGTACATTCTGTGTTAAAAATTTATGCATTTTATTTAAATATTTGCATTTTTGTATATAAAATAGTATATTCTTCCATTTTACACATAGATTTTTAAACAAATATAAACTCTTGTTAAATTTTTTTGAAATTTCAATAAAATAATGTATTATTTATTTACAATGGCTATGATAAAAAAATAAAACAATTAATAAAGAATACCAATGAAAAAAAGTATTTTTTAATATAGTATGTACTGAAAATTCTATTTCAACAAGCTTATTAGTTCGAATTTTTTGTCATATAAAATTTCTTGTAAACTATCTGGCGACTAAAAATGAAGGTTCATCAATATTGCATAATATTTCAGAAATCGGAAACGAATGTTTTCGATAGAAAAAAACATAAACTTCATTGAAATCTGACGAATCATTCTTAATGATCGTAAAACGTTAACAATAATTTGTTTGTCAAGCGAAACTTTTAGTTGTTCAGGTATTTTTAATAATACATTATCTTTAAATGCCTCATGTCTTAAAATACTTAAAGGTGACTTGTGAGTAAAGTAAAATATGTATTAAAAATGTATTTCGCAACATTTATTTTGTTTTCACTTTTGATACGAGCTTATGCCGGAAGAGCTTTATCAATTGATTAAAGTGCATCTTATCTGCATTGAAAGTGAAATGTCTTATCTACTATCCAGTTTTAATTCGAAACTTTTCCCTGTTCTAGTTTTATCTTGAAAAGATAAACTCGATGCCTCATTTTAATCAAAATAAATAAAGGGATATTACGTCGATGTACTTAATATTTACATATTGCTGATAGTCTTTTATCTCAACGTCTTTTCTCAGACTTCGGCTCCATAAAAGGAAGAAGAAAGAACTTATGTTTTGGGGTGTGAATTAAATATTTTTTATTGGTCTGAAAATTTTAGTACTAAATCTATGTAATGACTTGAAAACAGTGCAGAAATCCATGTTCTAAATTACTCTACTAATATTAGATAGTGTTAATTACTTTATAATTTACATGTTGCGCACATTAATTTTACTTTTTTCATAATAAAAAAAACAGGAACTATGGCTTGCAATGTTGACTTAGAAAGGGAAAAGGAGCAAATGAAGAAAAACAAACAAGCATCATCCCAGCAGCAAGCAAGCAAGCAACAGTCTTATATATCATTTATATTTTTAAAACATTAAAATGTTTGCAAAGATGATATTAACCAATATCAAGAGTTTTATGTCCTGTAAAAAAGTTACTTAAAGTTCCACAAAGAATGAAGATTTTGTCAAATCAATGGGTTTGGTATACATGTCCGAACCCATTGATTAACGAACAACTCGATTACCTGAGTTCATTTGCCTTGTAGATTCATTTGCTTGATAACTTATTAGGCTGACAACTCATTTGCCCAACCACTCATTTGTCCAACCACTCATTTGTCCAACCACTCATTTGTCCAACCACTCATTTGTCCAACAGTGCGTTTGTTCGACAAACAAATTATGAAACTGATTGAAAACACTGCAAAAATGCGGATAATATTACGGTTAAAAATACTGGCATCCGGAGTGCAGTATCCGGAAAAAATTATTATTATTCAGAAATACTATTCTAACTGTAAAATTTATACCTTAATTTTTACTCTAAAAATTATTTAATTACAGTGATTTACCAATTTTACAATAAATATTACTGTAAAAATTGCAGTGTATCATTTTTTTTCTGCAACATTTTACAACAAAAGTGGATTTTACGGAAAAAGTAACGGTAGTCTGAGTGGTGGTACTTTTTACAGTAATTTGACCCATAATTTTTTTCAGTGTAAATATATTTGATCAAAGTAATCATTGCTTTATTAAAAATACAAATAATACAATTGTGTGATAAATGTAAATAAATATTACAAGCCATACAGTACACTTTCGGTATTATTTTCATGAACTCGGAGATTCCTCCTTATTTTGAGGAACTGACCTTTTTTGTTCAACACAATTTCAAAGATCTTTATCCCTCTTACTGTGTGTGTTATTCAGCAGTTCATAAGACCGGCAAAAAAGAGCTACCGCGTTTAGTTAACATGCCATCTGTGAGTAGATACCAGTGAATCAAAAAAGAAAAACCATTTAAGCTTCAATCCTCAATTGCTATTTACTTTACCAATTAATTAGCAAAGGCTGTTTAATGCTTGAAAGTTAGCAAAGAGTCACTGCAGTGAGTTAAGCTATTTTTAAGTTTAT